AAAAAAAAAAAAAAAAAAAAAAAAAAAAAAAAAAAAAAAAAAACCCGAGTAACCTCTGAGTACGCGCTTAAAATATCTGCCAAAACAAATTACAACGAATGCGCATCGTCGAGAACCACAAAGCTGCCCACTCCAACTCACTCCAACGCTTTCTGCTGTTCTATCCATACAATCCTCCCCATCCACAGACCCGTCCATGGCAGATATGGAAGTGACCACTAGAGCTATGGCCGGTACCAGGAAGACGGGACGGAACCAGACGACCAACAGAGCTATGCAAGCAACCACAGAGTGTGGAAAATGAGTCTGCCTTCGCCAGTGGGCAAGGCTGGGTAGGCTCTTTCCTCACACACTATGGGCTTCACGCCACATGCATATTAATAGACAGCACTCCTCGTGGTGTGTGTTTTGATGATTATGCAGAACGTTCATTCTCATTTATCAGTGTCACAGTGGTGAGTAGTGGATCGAGGCCCTATGTCCATGAAAGGGGGGAATACGTTTGGGACAACGAATTTAAACCATAGTTGCGGCGCACGACGGTGCGCTGGTTTGCGCATGATTTGTGCACGTAGCGCAGCACACCGCACAGCGCACCGTCGCGCCCCGCACAACAAAAAATAGGGGTAGGGACCCCACCCCAGCAAAAATGACGGGCGGGGCGCGCGGCTCGGGAAACCGCCCGCACCCCGCCTTCAAAAAAATTTTTGGGCGAAGGGCCTGCCGAATTCGCAATTTCAAATTCGGCAGTCCCTTCCCCCACAAAAGTTTTTGGAGAAGGGGGATGACCGTTTTCCCGGAGTCCCGCGCCCCGTCGTTATTCGAATCTTCACGTCACCAAGGAGGGAGGGATAGACCCTGCGAGGGATGACCAAGAAGCGAGCAACGGAGGCGGGGAGCAGCAAGGGGCGGGCGTCGAGGCGATGAAGGTGGGAGAAGCGGGAGACCAACGTAGGAGGGAGGGAGGGAGGGACACGGCGGGACACCATCGGCGTACGGCAGCCGCAGGACACCATCGGCTCAAAGCAGCGGTGGGAAGCGGCAGCGGGCAGCAGGAGACCGGCGGGCAGCCTGAAGGTGGCGCCCACTACCTGTCTGTCTGTCTGTCTCTCTCTCTCTCACACACACACACACACACACACACACTGTGACACACACACACA